GAGTTTGGGAACTGCTGCGGCACATGGTCCCTACAAAGTCTCGTTTGGTTCACGTTGTCATGGTACTTGATAGCGCTGTTTATAGCCTGTTTATTTTTTCTTCGAATATGAACCAACTCGAGTTATGACAACATGATAAACAATAAATACTCATTGTAGAACGTCTATTTATCCTGCATATTTAAGCATTGAACTGTTTTTGTATGGTATTTATGATCTATTTGACTGACATAGCTTGCAAAGCTGTGTCATTCAAATAGATCATAAATACCATACAATAACAGTTCAATACTTATATTTACGTTTTCTCTTCCTCTTGCGTTCTTTTTTAACTTATAATTTATTTTTAAAATTAAAAATGCCCGCCTTATCGACAGTCCACACAATTTCGTTCAATGATTTGAACAGCGTATTGTCGCGTGCTGATTGGCAAACAAAGTAGTACTTTGAAATTTTAACAAACACTTCAATTTTATTCCACAATTCAGTTTCAATACAATTGCGTATGAAATGTCTATAGGGTGATTTAAGTTTATCAATAGAAATCTGAGCTGAAAGTTAGATTTTAAATTGTTCCGATTTTTCCACCGTGAATCCGACCTTGATCTCCACAAGGGAGTTATTTTTGGAAGTTTATTCGAAAGTTTCTCTTTGCTCATTTTGTGAAGAATCCAGACGTGAATTTATTTGTTGATTGTATGGGAATCTGACTACAGTCGGTATATTCTATACCAGCCTCGTTATTTGACATGTCCTGATCAGAAACTGGGGAAAACGTGGCTGCGAGACGCGTGAAACTGATATCGTTTGAAGTGAGTGGTCTTGCGACGGAGCACAGGGGTTTGTTACAAATGTCTGACGGTTATATGTGCTGTGACTCATATCAATAGGTCTGTAACATATGTGTCAAGTTCAAGTTCAAGTTCTTTATTACTTTAAGTCGGTTGACTTATCAGTCATAACATATATACAAAACAATACAGAGACAACATACAATATGATACACACACACATACATACACACACACACACACACACACACACACACACACA